TCGGTCTTTTATTCGTTTGTAAACGAATTTCATTGATCGCTGGGACCCTGTCGCGAATCCTTTCGCTGTGTAACCGAAGCATTAGCCAGAAACGAAACTGTTCGCGCGATCCCTTCATACGCGGTCCCGTCCACAGATAATCAGTCGCTTTACAGGCGACTTTTGTTCGATGGAAAGTGGCGTTCCTCTTCTCGTTTTTTGTTTAGACTTCGTGCTTTATTTAGGTAATTTTTCATGTGAGTAAAGAGAGAGTTCACGGGAAGCAAGTTGGACGTTAGGCTATCCCTTTGTTCGCGGCGCGTTCCCCTTTTCAGCGATCGTCGTCATGTCGTCTAGCATCTTGAAATATCTCGAGGGCCAAAAGCAGCGAGGAAAGACCGTAGATCAATACTCAGCATCCTCTTTCCGCCGTGCTTCCTTCATGCTCCACGCGACATCTTTTGTCGATCGACTTTCACATTTTCGACTTCGTTGCGACCAATCAATCCCAATGTGCTTCCATTCCAGGTGCTAGCTAAACACGAATTACTTCAAATATTTTTGTATGCAATTAAAGAAAGTGTTTGTAAGAAAAGTCGTTTGCTTGAGCATGGTAAAAATAGGTATTTTCAACATTTTTCATCAGACTCTAAAAATTTAATCAAAGTTCCGCTTGAAATAAAAACAGTCAAGAGGTTGGAACGGCAAGTTCGATAATATCCTCGCTAAAAAATGCTGTGGATTCGTTCCATACTCGATTCGATGTTCGACTATGGAATTTCATTGGCCACGTAGAACAGCTGTAGGTGTCGCGCAACGAATTAGAAGCAGGCATCTCGCGGTTCGGCGACAAAAGCCGCGGAGTTTGTTAAATCGGTCGAGTCGATTCCATAATTCATAAGGAGGCAGGGTTTCTTTTATTCATGGTACGACTCTATCCATCGACTGGACGTGACCAATGAATTACCGTGTCCTCTTCTGTTCCGTTTCCATCATGGCGTGTAGGAGCTTACGTTCGTCTCCAGTCAACAAGTGATACCTATCGATCCTCCTCGACCCACCGTTTCTCGACTCCCTCGCAGTCGCTGCCCTCGTCGATTTCTGTTTCTCCATTTTTCCTGCTTTTTTGCTTCTTCTGCGACGCTTGTCGGCGCTGATTTTCCTCTCGGAAACTTCTACTGGAGTGGTTAGCCCCTTGGATATCCTTTCAGAAATCTTTCTGAGCCATGATACTGTTATGAATTATATAGATAGTTGGAAGTAATATTAAAGAAGTAAAAGTAGATCAGGTTTAGTTGGCCTGAGGAGCAACTGATTTCTGATGATGACCACTACTAACCTAGACTATCCTCGAAGGGTCGTTTGACCTTTCAGTTTTAAATAGCGTCAACCTTAGTCACGATAAAGACGCGGAGTGATAACGAGCTTCCCCGTGACGAGGTACTCGCATTGGAGAGACGACTTTTCAATCGTCTAATCGCCTTAGCCGCAACTTGATGGCTTCTCGGACGCTGTGCAACGATTCGTCGTCTTCTGCCAGCTCGATTCTCAGTATCGTCGACTCGACTCAGCTTTGAAGTCGAGACTTCGACGTCCGCCAGAGTAGACGTCCGCCGTTCGTCTTCAGCTGCTGGCGTGTGGACAACCCTTCCTTTCTACCCATTTCTAAAATATTGGAACTACTGTCTGATCAAATTAGTTACAAATACGTAATCCTTCTTTTGCTCTGCAGTAACGTAAACTCATTTGTTACGTGATTTCTCCCTTCCAAAGGTTAAATTCCCTAGCAAATTCTTCTTTTCCACCTACAATATTTATCCAGTCTTCCGAACGCGTGCGTCAGGTCCTCCCATACCACTCTGATCACCCTAAACGAATATATTTCAATGTTCGCGACAATTTTCTCTCGCATCCCATATTTTGGGGATATCTGATATAGAGTATCACGCGTGGGACACCATGAAAGTCGATGGGATTTAATGAAAACGGACGAGACGTCCGTAAGAACGAAACGCCCCGTTCGGGGAACAGATATCCTCTCTCTGGCCTTCATCCATTCCAAATGATCCTGAAACCGATCAAAAGGAGAAGTAGGGGAGCCTATCTTCCCGCTCTTTGATACCCTCGACCGATCCAATAAGGATCAAGAGGGAGATCAGAGGCTGGTGAACCAGAGACCGTTATTATGGGAATTTTTATCGGCGAGAGAAACCGCGTTTCCGATCGGCTCATTTTTCTCCGGCTCTGCGGACTATCGCCTCGTTCGACGTGACGAGATGATGTTCGATTCTTTGAACGAATCGATTACGGTATTATACATTCATATTTGTACCTCTGTGTGCGTATATACATATACGTATATATATTCGAACGAATTACGGTACCACGTTATACTTTATTTTAATTTTCCGAATTTCATCGAATCGCTGACATTGAATTCCAGCCAGAGTGAAAATGTTCGCTCCGTCGAGTGACAATTTGTTTCCACTCGGAATCCGTGACTGATTCGATAAACGCGAACCTCTTATCGCGGCGGCATTGTTCGCGAATTATGCCCGAAGAAATCTTTTGTTCGACGTCGCGATTGCCGCGCGTCGTGACGACGCGTGGAGCGGATAATGGCGCTGGAAAAAATTTCATATGGCTTGTCGTGTTCTGGAGTAGCCATAGTGGCACACAAAGGGACGAGGACGATATTGGGGAAATCCATTTTCTTGCCAAAGTGGCGTTTCATCCTCGAATCGGTAAATTCCTTCTGAGGTTTCATCTATGAAACATATGTCGGTGGACATTGTAAACTGCGAATCGGTAAACAAACGTATATTACGAAGCAGTGGTTCTTGATTACTCTCTTACTTGATTACTGAATTTTATCATCAATTCGTTGTTGTAAAAATGATAATTATCGTGGAATTAAAGTATGGCCCGTGAGTTCCCAGTGGGTCGTGCGAATATTGTTTGAGAATTGATACAAAAATATCTAAAAAATAGAAGGATCAGCCAACGTTTCAAAGTGCACAATAAAATTGATTTTCCAATATTCCATATTCTTAATCTTGGTCGCCAGAAAGAGAAACGACAGTACCTGGCGTAAGTATCGATCCCGGAAGCCACACCTCGACGCAACGCGACGCGGAGTTAGGCGTTTTGCGCGATTACATTCACAGTTCCAACCGTGCCTTGCTTGAACTTTCCGTCTGGTGTAGCTTTTCACGGTGCAATCGTAAAATGTCGCGAATATTAAATGTCACGTTTGCGATTTATATTCGTTTTGGAGGCGCTCGCGGCTATTTCTAGCGCGGCGCGTTGAATAATGAAACTACGAGAGGATTCCATTTATCCGAACGAAAGTTTGCTCAATGCTCGATTCAGGGGACTCGATATCGAACGCTTATTATCGAATTCTAAAAATTGCACGCGTGCGCTCCCGTTTCTTCTTACACTATCCAGACAGGTCTGACATAAACCTGGACAAAAATATATTTTATAAAAATAGGGAGACTGATGTTGCTTTTTGCTGGTTAAACAGGTTTAAAGTAACATACGTGACAAAATATATTATAACCCTTAACAGAGTCAGACTCTGTTATATCTTATAATCTTCTATCTATCTTCTATAATTTTCAAAAATGATCTGAAAGTAGAGAATCGCTTCTAGTCGATCAGTGAAACAAACCTCAATCCTGAAATGTTTGGCATAGAACTTACCATACTGTTTTCTTACTAGTCCAGCATTTCCAAAAATAATCGCGTGACCCGCGAATGCAAGACTTGTTTAGCATAGAGAATGAAGCGCGTCAGAGACGACAGTTTTCGCGCAGATTCGGTCCGTGGCTTCACTTGACATTAATTAAGGCCGATTCGACGAGAACGTCGTATTGTATCGCGAGGAATGTCTCTTCGTTGACCTTAATGAACGTCGCGATCGAGCAAACTGTCGCGGATGCAAACGATACCCGGTTATTCCCGAATCGATCCTACTCGTTTGCGTTAGCGAAGCGACACCCCGTACTCGAGCTATGTCTCGATACCCTGGCGTCGAAATTACGTCATGCTAACAGTAATTATCATTACATCTCTTTAATTAAAGGAGAGATCAATTTTTGAGAACGAAACAAGCGTTTCTAAATTTTAAGTTTGTAAAACGTACATTTCCTGAATAAACCTAGCATAGATATATGCCTGTTCCGATTTTGATAATGATTGCATAATTGTCGTAAATTATAGCCAATCTCAAGGAATGGTAGTCTCATGATAATAGTCGCTTATTATACATACCTTGTTGATCGTTAAACTAATTTACAACGCCATTCGTTAGACCCGGCGGTGGTAGGGCGTCACAGGCGTTGGTTAACTAAAAAACGGCCCTTCGAGAGGCTAATTGGCCCCCGCCGTCGGCTGGTCGCGCAAAAATCCGGATCCCTAATGGCGCTATTCGTATGCGACGCGACGCGACCGTGTCGATGCAATTTGTTCAACGACCGTGAAGATCGTTTGCACGATACCGCGACAATTTTCCTTCCGCGTCTTCAGTCGTTGCTGAAACATTGTTCCAACCTTTGGACTCCTTTTTTGTGCTGGCTGTGTCATTAAATTTTAGGATCCTCTCACATTAAACAAGAAACTCTTCTTGGGCTCCGTTTAATTAATTTATTCGTTCTTCTTTACACTGAAATACTACCTTCTTATTTCAGAAAAAGTAACAAGGATGAAATTCCGAGATCCTCTCATGAGGATTTCAATAATTTATTACGTAATTCTTTTTCACACTGGAAAAAAAAGAGGGAGAGAAAGATGAATTCAATTTTTATTATTTAAATGCGTACATGAATATGAGTTGCACCTCTGTTGCAAAAAAAAAAAAATTATAATAATGGTAATTCCAAGATCCTAAAACCTCTCTTGGAAAACCTTTTATACCTCGCTATAAGATCCATTAATCGCATCGATTGTTTTCCTACCCCTAGCGCAGTCTAAATTTCAGCGTTACTAAACCAGCCTCATCCCTTTTTCTGTTACAGTGAGATTACACGACAACATACAGGAGGAGAACTACCATTACCTCGTCTTTGATCTGTAAGTAGAGCGACGGGGGCGAGATTAATCATAGATTAAACGCGCGGGCAGTCGACGATAACGTCGCGTTGGGTCGAAAAGTTTCTAATCGAGTTAATCACGACGTCGAATGATCCTAGGAAATCGGCGACGACCCCATCCGGTACGGGGCATTACGTACGCATCGATTTCGAATATTGGCCTGGGAGACATGTACTTTTGATAACATTTATTTAACAACATCAAAAATGAAATCAATGTCTCCATTTCTTTCTGATAAAACGGCTCAGTAACAGTTTACACGAACCACCCTATATATAAACCTCTGCCTCTTCTTACTCCCTCTCGATCCCGATCGAGACCGGTAATTGTTAATTTGCAGCTGTTAATTAGTCGGCCGCCGATTGTTGAAGCTGGCCGTCCTCGTGAATTTTAATCAACCTCGATTTGCATATTAACGAATCTGCCTGATCGTATCGATATTCCACGGTGGAAAGTATCGCGATATTTGACGGCGAGGAACTTCGCGGTGATCCGTTCGAGTGGAAGAATTCAGCGGGGCATTTCCTGCTTTGCTGAACTTTTCCAAGATCGATGAAAAACTACGTAACTGATAATCTACATCTTGGTGCAATTCATTCCTTGAGGAGCTCGAGCCTTTGATCGTTTCAAGCGTCTTAATTTCTTCTTGAAATTCAGATTCCTTAGTGTCTTTGTCCTACCGGACTGCAGATTTTTTATCTGTTGAGAATTGAGAATCGAAAAAATATCTTGTGTTCGAAAATATTTTCGATGCTGTTTAGGATTGGAGATCTATTTATATTAAAACAATAGATTCAATCTATAGTGTTAGTATGATCTAAAGTGGACGAATCGTTGCTCGAACGACGAAGCTTTTACAGTTTTAATCCAGCTATTTATTGTATTTTTCTATAGAGTAACTGGTGGAGAACTGTTCGAGGACATTGTCGCGCGAGAATTCTACAGCGAAGCAGACGCTTCTCACTGTATCCAGCAAATCCTGGAAAGCGTACACCACTGCCACCATAATGGAGTTGTGCACAGGGACCTGAAAGTACGTATGGAAACGAAAATTCAATCGACATTCCATATAGTACTCGCAAAAGCCCCACCTCAATATTTGCACGTGCTATAGAATCCAGATTCGTGACGCGTGTCACGCGAATAGACGAAATTATTTATATCTTAGTTAAAGGATACTATCCTTCTTGTTTCAGCCTGAGAATCTGCTGCTCGCGAGTAAGGCGAAAGGCGCGGCTGTGAAACTAGCTGATTTCGGATTGGCGATCGAAGTGCAGGGTGACGCGCTAGCATGGTTCGGTAAGTGGATCATCCTGTATCAATTTTCTATCGACGAATGTACCATTAATAGTCAACGAACGATAATGCTCGAGCTGATATAGTCCTCGATTAATTATTTCACGCCAACAATAATTCATATGAACAATTTATTGCTGGATTCATGAACTATGAATGAGACGTTGTAATTGCGTAATTTGTATTCGTAAGGGTGGATGAACCCTGCGACCCCGTTACGCACATAAACAGTAAACAGAAACAATTGATACACAAGCAGGACTGCGCTATTTAACGCTCTATTTTTGTATTTTTTTTTATTGTGGACATTGTGTCCTTTGGTGCAATTTTGATTGTGACGCGCTTCCAGTCGATTTGGAATCGGACGCAAATCACAGACTCGGAAGTTAAATAAATTCGTTTCGTGGCACAGCTAATTTAGCTAACAAATGGACGCCACGGGTTTGTTTTACGTTGGTTTAAATTTCCGGAAGCTGGTGGCTGAACGTGAAAAGGGGGGAAAAAGGAGAATCGTTTCGTGGAAAAGCGCGGAAGTACTGGAATAAAATTTTTCCGCCGGTGTAATGTTCCCCGGTTTACTTTCAACGACGCGTACTCCTTCTTTTCGTTGAGCGTTTTCTAGCCTGTTGCGGTTCAAATTCGACTGCCGACATTTTCAGTCATTTACCACCCTCGTTGCCCCCCTCTGCATGTTTAATAGACGTCGTACAACATGCAGACCAGTGGTGCACAACCAAAAATGTAGATTCAATAAGTGTAGACATTTTTTAATATTTCATTTTAATATCCAAGCCTCTCAAAATGTACCGCTGTTACGATGAAAATTTTCTTGATCATTTTCCTAGCTTTTCTTAAAATATTCGCCATCAGTTGGTAAAGAGCCTGTGTAGAGGCCATGTCACGTCGAAACGGCCTCGTTCGACTGCCTGTTCTCGTTTGTTTTTTCCTCCTGGGAAACTCCATGGAAGTTTTCACGCGCTATTGGAAAACTTCCTGCATTTTCGCAGTCAAAATAGATTCCACGTCTGAGATTTTCACTCGAGAACGCTCCGTGTATGTATTGTGTTTGCGGTCGAGGAACCTTCTCAACCGTTTTACTCTGTTTTCCACAGGAAATTCTTTCATATCACCCCCGCCCCGATACACGAAGTATCCTGAAAATATCCATACAGAGAAATCTGAATTTTAAAATAAATTAGATACGCAATCATAGGTAGACCGAAGCGAAGAGAATTTCAATATTTATTAAAATACACGAATGTTTATCTCGTGAACATCGATAAACGAAATTAAATGCAGAAACGATTACACGAGGCAAAGTTTACGCCGAGAAATTAAATTATACCAGGGATTAAATATGCGCATAATATAAAATCATAAGGTAGAGGATAAAGCACGGATTAATATTAATTTAGGTCTTTAGAGCTCGAACATCCGAGCGGGAATGAAAATTTTAGGTTCCCGTGGTTCTATTTATGCTTCTCGAGCGACCACAGAAGGGGTTCCCCCGGAAAATCCCAGCGATGACCTCACCAGGAATGATGAGATCAATCCTATCGCGAGCAACGGGTATTTTTAACGAAATATTATAATGACGATTATTCGCGCGACAATCGTTAACAATTCCTTCGGTTAATTTTATTATGGATTTCCGCATCAGACGAAACTCATTACGTTTAATCATTCGTTGAATATTAATATCCCTCCGTAGTATACACTATCAATTGTCGCGCGGGCGATGTGTGAGATCTCATTTGAATACGAGCAGCAACAGGATAATGTTTAATTTAATTACGAATTCTAACTTTGATTTTTAATTAACATTAAATATGCACTCACTTCAGAGTGGTCTGTTGTTAAGAGCAAAATTTATTTCACCAGTGGTTCACCACTGTATTTTAAAATTTATCAAATTTCATAGAGTGCACTCGATGAGTTTGGCTTCTATGAATCATTCTATACGTTTGCTCTCCCTGTGATTGAATAAAAATGTTATGCGATAAGGTTTCGCTGGAACGCCCGGTTACCTCAGTCCGGAAGTCCTCAAGAAGGAACCTTACGGCAAGCCAGTCGACATCTGGGCGTGTGGCGTCATCCTTTACATCCTCCTCGTCGGTTATCCGCCGTTTTGGGACGAGGATCAGGGTCGACTCTACATGCAGATCAAGGCTGGATCGTACGACGTAAGAAACCCGTCTACACCCCTCGACAAAACAATAGCACGCGTTAAACAATTCAAAATGAAATCGAAAATAATCATCATCCAACGAGATTTAAAATCTTTCTTTAGCAGAACTAAATATAGAACCTGTGTCAGTAAAATAATGTATCATCAAGCGAGCTATGTCATCTTTTAAGGTTTGAAAGGTGTCGTACTTGCTGTGAGGATCTTTGGAAGATCTTTTTTCAGTGCTCACCTGGAATCGGCTGCTCGTTGATCCTAAAAGTTTGCGTGTCCCCTAAAAGGGAGGTTCGATCTTTCTCGAACGGTAAATTAATCTTCTTCCTTGTTTATTCGCCAGTACCCCAGCCCAGAATGGGACACTGTGACGCCGGAAGCAAAGAATCTCATCAATCAGATGCTGACGGTGAATCCTAGCAAAAGGATCACCGCCAGCGAGGCACTGAAGCATCCATGGATCTGCGTGAGTACAATTCGCCATAGATCATCCCCCTATCGTCATGCTGCGTGTTCACTTGTCCAATTTCATAGATACCATTTTTGGCAGAAATTCTTCAAGTTTAACAAGTCCAAGAATAATAGATTCTAATCTCGTTTCATCTTAAATCTTCCATTCATCTACTTCTCATTTTTTTGAGGTGTCCCTCTTGAAAAGAATAGAAACCACAATATTTGCACTATACTATTACGCTCAGATGGTGGTCTCTATAATTTTCAAGGAGTACAACCAATGAACACGTAGCGATAGAGCCAGCAAAACCTCTATTCTCTGTTTCAGCAACGTGAACGTGTCGCATCCGTCGTCCACAGACAAGAGACGGTGGATTGTTTGAAGAAATTTAACGCAAGGCGCAAATTAAAGGTGAGTAACGTGCTATCTAGTTCAATTAGACGATCCCTTGGACGCGTAATAAGAGGGTGGATACGGGGCAGCGAGTTTCTCGATTAATAGAATCCAGCCTCGATGAACATGTTGCCAACGTTGTAGGAGAACTCTGCTAACTAGTTACACGCGAGTTTCGATTCGGGACATGTTAAGGTGCGTCAGCCCGTTAAATGATCTATAGCCCGTGTCGCGTGCTGGGGATAAGCTAGTATTTAGCGTTTAATCATTGGCCCAGCCCCGAAAACCGTCCACGAACCGTGCTGGCCTGGTCAGAATTCGAAATTAGGTTCTGGCGTTTCGCTAGGTCCTTCTCTTCTTAAAACGATCCTGTCTTTATTACAGTTCACGTTTAAATATTTCTTTTTTGGTATTTTCTACGGGCAACTATTTTTTTCGTCACTGTATACGTGTGTTATTTTGTTATATTTTCTATTTCAGTCGAAAATTAATTTCATTTCATCCAATAAGGATTCAATTATTTGGTAAATTTAATTTCGCTTACGAAAAGGATTGCGCACCACTGATCTAATCCCACACCAGCGCGAGTGGGCGTCGCATCAGGGAGCATGAATTAAAGATAGGAAATCACTCGACGCGTATTGGATCTACCTGCAAAGGACACCGTCCCCACCCATAGACTGTTTTTGTTCTTAGCGCCGAGTCGCGGTGATTGGCGACGACAAAGTCGTCGTTGATTAGGAATTCGTGAATTTCCGGTTCCCCTCCTCGCTCACGGTGTCTGTCGTAATTGTGTGACACGGTAACGAGCTCAGTCGTTTGAATTGAATCGAACCGGACGCGTGTGCGTGCTCTTATGATACCAGTCAACTGTGACATGTGTTCGTGAGCAGTCTTGGCGTGTACGCGTGGAAAATCGTGTTGATTGTGCAGTGTCGGATCACAATTATCTCCTGTGCAAAAGAAAGAGAGAGTGAGACGATTATTTCAGCCTTTTTATCTTACATACAAAAAGGTCCATATGTGATATTGTCTACAAAATTAATTTTCCTCTACCCACTGAAACAATTAGCCGACTAACATTGATTCATTCCCAAATTAATAATTTCCCAAAACAACCTGTCCCACAAAATTAATTTCTCCTTGCCAAAGACCACTCAGCTTTACATCTGCGCCTCTGTTATCCGACAGGTAACAAGTTGACGTCACCTCGAACCGCAAATCCATCCCCACGCGAAATTATAATTTATAATTATGGCAACAACACGCGTAGCTCATTAGCCACTTGTCCCTCCCGTTCACAGCGAACTATTAAATTTCCATGTCGACGTTTCGTGCGCCATTAGGGCGAGGTGTGGTTGTTGCACGCGTGCCACGGTGGTTTCAATCCGTTTGAAAGCAGCCACTGGGATAAAACGAGCCGGCTCGATAAATACATCTCCGATCTATTGATAAGTCGTAACTATTGCAACGATTGTACGTCTTGCGCTTGGCAGTGATCGAGTAAGCCTCGCATATCGAGTGCAACGGTATTCGCATAAATAACAACGTCCCGACCGCGGTCTGCTTCCATTCAAGTAAATACAATTTTTTTTTCGTTTGTCAGGTCCGATCGATGCTATCTGAGCGCAGTCGGACGTCGAGAGTCGCGCGGTGAGCTTCCAATCACGCGATCTTTCCATTTGATGGAGCCTTCGGGGTCTTGGGAGCAGACAATTTTTCGCCAATTTTTCAGCTTTTTTTCGTGGCCAGTGTTCGCGATGGTTTCTTCGAATTTCGCGTGCTTGTTTGTATGTATTCAGAGGGCGCGTATGTTTTTTTTTGCGCGAGGAATTAATTATTTGTTGAGGAGATATGAAGGATATTACCGTTTCAAATATTAAGTATCGCGGTCAGTAACGTTCCGTGATCAGCTGTCAGGATTAACTTTGGTTAATGGCACGGTCGTAGAACTTGGGAATAATTAGAGGATATTGAGGATTATAGTGTCGTATTTCAATGAATTACTAGGGACAGGTATTGCGCATTCGCTTCCAAGCGAGTCCCGTGTCTTCCAATGAGTAAGGCGTATCGGATACCACATTCGAACATAAATTCATCCTGATTTCCTACTATCGCCACTTTAGTTGATATTTTATTTGAAATTCAAATCTTAAGGGGTTGAAAAGTTACGCACTCAGCTGAAGGTATACATCAACGTCCACAGAACAAACATTCAAAAATAAAGCAATTATTCTTCCATGTCCACTGTTTATATCTTAGAGACGGGAAGCATTGAATCACCAGTTTTTCAATTAGCAAACACTATTACAAACCGCTTAATAATTTAATCCAGCCACCCCACCAATAACCAAAATTTCACGTAAAACACTTTCTTTCATCCTTCCGTTTCTGGAAACGTCGCTCCTGAAAGATACTCCAAAGTGTTAACCAAGTGGATGAAGATTGAATCAAAACGAACCAAGACCTAGACACACTGAGCCATGAGGGCGTTGAAAAGGAAGTTTGTGCTGTGCAGACAACAGGAAGCAATCATCCCCGAGGTACCCTCCATCATACAGCATTCCATTATCAATTCACGAAATATTTATGACTTTGATTCAATCGACACACGTGAAAACCATCTTTTCACGGCTGTGAAAAACCATGCGTAACACAGAGTTTCGAGTTTCAGCACGTATTATTAAACCGCACCCTCGATCGTGTTCAAACTCGGAACTTGTTGCGAGAGATTTCATTCTGCGCGCGCTTTGTTCGCCTCCCTTCGTTTTCGAGCCTCAAAGGGACACTCCAACGAGCTCTGTAACCTTGGTAATCTTCGATCGGACGCGACGTTCCCTGCGTTTCGCTTTTTTTTTCCACGGTGGAAAACGTTCCTTTGATGTTTTCACACGGGAGCGGGAGTTTCGAGTTGCACGGCGATTCGAGCTCTTCGACGAGGAGTGTGTCGGTACGAGCCATTGCCACGAGAGATCTTTACGATATCGGAAAATAGAATATTCCACGTGAAATAAAGCAAGGTTTCAGTCATCATTTTTCAAATTTCACGCCCGTTCAGAAAGTACGAGCCTTTGGAACCGTGTTCTGTAATAATATTCTAGTTGAATTGGGGTCTCCTCTGTCACCGTGCAAAAGGAGATTATTTTGATCCGCACTATTAAACATTGAACTGCAAATCTCTTGATTTTAAGCTTCCTGTCAGACACTTTTTTCTAGCAATCATCGCGCGATTCAACCGGTTATACAATTAACCGATTCTTCTAACCTTTATATTGTTAAGTACAAAAAAAGAAACGTATTTCGGCGTAATAACGTCGCGACGAATTCAAGCGAGTGCATAAGAGACCAACGACATGGGGCGTTTAATTTAGAGAAAGAACGCTCGAGATGCAAATTAATCAGCGGGAAGTTAATCGATCGATCTACCGTGAACGAGTGCTCGCGGGAATACTGTTACAGTTGAATTCTTGGAGCGTGAGGAGTTACCAGACGTGGCTATATTTTGCAATGAATTAGCGTTAAATAAATCAGTGATACAAAATTTAGGAAGAAGAAGGAGAATTCAAATAAATTAGGAATGAGGAATTGAATTGTAGTAGATGACGTATTTATGAGTTAAACTAAAATAGCCTAGTGAGAATTTTGCTTATCTCTGTTAGTCGCGACTCTCTCGTGCGCGAGTCCAAAGTTCACCGTCTAATAACGTGATACAGTAAACCGGAAGCTTCATAAGACCTTATGAAAGAATTGAACGTAGTCGAGAATTGACAATGATCGAGCTCAATCACAAACATTACAGCGAATTGTTTTTGTTTTTCTTTCTTTTCAATTCGTCAATACGTACTCCACTTCTTTTAATATATATATATATATATTTTTTTTTGTTTTTTGACAAGAACATCCCAAAGAATGTACAAAACTAACGTGACGTAAAACAATCCGTCTCGTTTGTTTGCCAAAAATCAAATCTTTTTATCCGGGAGAACGAATTCCCGCTAGCGAAGGGGTCAACACGCGAACACTGTGCTAAATAAAATTCCAATTAAACGAGTTTGAGATAGTTTTCCTCCCGAGCTTCCATCGAGCCCCGATCGCACGTTCGGTTAATTAGAAGCACGGTACGTTACCCGTCGAGGAACGTTATTGCGCCATTGGTTGGTCAGAACGAATAACAAAGGTCGAGTTACTGTTTTTCACCACCGCAACGAAGTCGTTTGATTTTTCACGGAAGAACTCCCCGAGTTTCGTGTTTCTTGATTGATATTCGCCACCGCAAATCTGCTCGCGGTTCGAAGCTGACTTCTTGCTCGCGTTTTGATGCATTGCAGTCCCTGCCACTGCGGAGAAAGAACTCTTAATTCGATATGTGCGGTGCAAAAGTTCTTTAAGGCACGCTGTTCTTATCAGAAGTTCAGCATTTAGGATATATATAGATTTGGAATTTCACGTAGGCAGAAACTAGATTTTCAATCACTTTTGTGGATCTTCTGTTAATTGTTGACCTTGTCTAGAACAGAAAAATGCTAATCAAAGTTGTATTAATTGGGCTGAGTTGCGAATTTGATTTGTAGTGTAGGGCGGTTTCTTTTGCTTCCAGATATCGTAGATCTTGTGTGACCGTTCTCGTTGAAGATATTTATGCGAGATTATGTATACAGTGTCACTGAATATTATATGAACAACCCCAGGAGTTCCAACACTTATAGTTACTCAACCGACAACACAAAGCAACGACAATTGCCCGCAATTTGATCGCAGTTTAGCCAAGTTCAAGAAGATCACCAGAGTCTGAGGCAACGGATGTCGCGCGATTATCTGCAAAATTAATTTTTATTCACCTAAAGGGGAGCCCTTAAACGAGTAACGAGCACCCCCGTAGCCACCCGCGTTCACTCCACGTCTTTTCTCCGCCCCAATTAATTCGAGAGAATAATCACCGTTGCTTTTTGTCCCCAGGGCGCTATTCTGACGACCATGTTGGCGACGCGGAACTTTTCCAGTAAGTATGATACACAGGGTAAGTACCTCCGGCCCTCTTCAGCGCTTCATGGACCACGACAGACAGTACTTTTATGTCTCCTATTAAATTTTACGTTCCCGAACCCCTCTCCCCCTTGTACTCTATTTTTTTTTTTACTTTCTCTGTCGCTCTTTTCTCTACCACCATCTATGTCGTTCCCCCGCCTACTTCTGTCTCACTTCTTTATGTTCCCTGAATTCATAACCCCGTAAACCCGCCTCGTTCTTCATTCCATCTTGCACACCCCTACACAACCCCTTCAGCCCCCTGTTATATAGAGAATCTCTCTCTCTCTCTCTCTCTCTTTCTCTCTGTTCATCAGCCCTTTCATTCTTTTCAAGAGGTGCTTCACAGCGTGGCCCTGCTCACGCAGTTTCGTTTCACTTATTACGAACGTTATCGCGAAAACCACTCTTGAAAACTTGAACATTTGGAAGGGGTTTCCTTCGCGGAGGAACGTTAGGGGATTCGGATGAATCTGGGCGTTTGGAGGTCGAAAATAAAGGACAAATATTTCTTTAGAGGGTAAGGTAAACTTGAGGGGGTGAATGTACCTCTCGATGTTTTAGCTTTTTGTAAAAGTCACTTTTTTTTAGATGATTGAATGTGAAGGGAGATTTTATATTTTTCAAAAAAGAATATTGCAAAGTAGACTAAAATTTGCATAAGTAAAAATACATACATAATGATAAACAAAAATGGAACTCCACCAACCTCCCAAGGTTTCAGATTTGCACTGACATTGCTTCCCATTACAGAACCCCCAAGAATTCCCTTTAAAGAATCCGACGAGTTTCTCTGAAATCGAGTTTCCCCTCGAACGTAGATTGCAAGCCAAGCATCAGGGTGGGAGATGAAACTTCATAGCATCCCCTATTTTTGGCAGTTCCGCAAACCTTGCAAAGTTTTATCAGAATCGGTGCGGTGTTCCCCGTTCCATGTGCCTCGCTGGAACCGCGGTAGCTCGCGATTCCAGTCGCTACGTTGCACAAGAGAACTTCGCAACGCCTCCTTAATCGAGTTGCGTCGGTTTGAAAATTTCGTTGGGACCGTTCGCGAAGAATTAACGAGTCGATATATCCGTCGACGGTTCGACGTAATCGAGTTCACCGAGTCGCCTAAATTTCGTTACAGAGTTTAACGACCGATAGTGAAACGAAACGAAACGAAACGAAACGAAACAAAATCGTCCAGGGCCGCGGAATGAAGCCCGATCGTTTCCTGCTCGAACGAATTAAAGTCCCATACGTCGATCCTCGCCTACAGATCCACGGCGATTGGGGCACCGGGGGTGAAATTCACACCTGATTCAACAGAGAAGATCATACTCGACAATGACCATTTTTACCAACCTTGGTTTGGGACAGGAAGAAGTTTTAATCTTATTTTGGGATATATTGGAAAGATTATGGGAAAGTAGAATGATAGCGTAGGGTAAAGGGTAGAACTAAAGTATGAGTCGAGCTGAGGAAAAAATGTACACGATTAAGGATCGAATCGCAGAAAGCACAGAAAAAATGGTCATTTTCGAGGACTGTGATCCCTTGAAAGAGGAGTGGTTGATTCTCGGGGGTGAAATTTCAGCCGTGCTCGCTCTGCACACTCTAGCGAACCGTCATGATACTCGTTCACAACCTGGTGTACCTCATAGTCGATGCACTTGGCTCGCACCTCATATCCTGCAAGGACTGTCTTACGTTACCCAGAACGAAACCAGTACCAGATGTTTGTGTTTCGATGGTGACACGATGCCTGCGATTCTCTTTGTCTTTGTCCTTATTTTTTTTTTGTCTCTCTCGAAAAGGCACGCCCCGAATTTTTTGATTTCCCTTTGAATGCACCTGATCGATTCTTGGAATATTCTGGGTAACGCGAATCGTCGTCGCAGTGGACTCAAGCAGTTCTTCTCATTCATCACGCTCATCGGTCGAATTTAAAGATCATCGGGGAGTCATGCTTCGTCGTCTCTCGAACACGTTTTTTAGAAACCACGGTTCGAATAAGGAATGAACGATTTTTTTTTTTTTTATTAAAAATTGTAATCTAGATTGGACAGTTAAATTATTTTTGGCGTCGAGGATAGGGGTTTATTTGAATATATGTTTAATCGAATGCGTAATATATACAGTGTTTTTGTTTGTCATTCGTTATTCGAATGAAATTTTGCTCATCTCTGGTTTTGGATTCCACGAGCCGATTACTCAGCGACAGTAACAACGAACAGATTTATCGCATCGACTGCTTCGTGAAATCATTTCGCATATTACGTTTGAATTCACGTTTTACGAATTCGAAAGTGGAGCCCATTTCATAAATTAGGAATCATATTTCGTGCATCGATAACACCTTCTTAATTTTACTTATAAATCTCTCAATTATTTTTTTTTCTTTAGAAAGAAATTTTAGACGTTATACAAAATGAATTTAAGAGAAACCAAAATATATCGTCGAGATATCGAATACCGAACGCAACTGTTTCGGTCCACTAGCGAGAATCGCCCACGAATGATTATTGTGCGTTCAGTATTGCTGACCACTCTGTAGCGCCTATTCCGTCCACGAGACATCAGCGAAATACGAGACGCATTCGTGACCCATCTACATATTTTTTTTTTTTTGTCTTTTTCTCTCGTATTCTTGCCGAACATTTTGGAACGACGACAACGCTCGGGCGAAAATAACTTTCATTTCGTTCGTGGAACTCAACAAATTCCGCTTTTTGTTCGCGAATTTTTCCAGACTTTGTCGTAAAAAAATTATTATACCGGGTGGATCGCGCAATCGTGCCTCCTCAACCTCCTGTTTCGCTGGGAAACAAAAATTAAAACGAGGGAGACATTTTTAACTCTTTTTTCGTTAAATGCAACGGTGCGCCTGCGAAGTGCAATTCCACTTCGACTACAGTCGTGGGAATAAATAAAATGTTATGTAAACGTTGGAGGGGAAATGCGAACGAAGTGGGAAGGAAAATTATTTTTTGAAAAACTGGAACTTGTTCGAGTAAAGTGTACAGTTTTTTCCGAAAGAAAAAGAATTTATTTTCATACCCTTGGTACATAATTTTTTCTAACACCATCTCTCGAAATATTAATCGTGCAACGTGCATGTTCTTCCGAAAAGAATCATTTATATCTATTTTTCAAAAAATGTAGCTTACCAAGTGCATCATTGCATTTGCAAAAAAAAAGTGACGAAATGGCACGAATCTCTCGTTTCTTGCTATCTCAAACGAACCTAGAGATACTTGTTCATCTCATTCGAGTGACTCACTCTGTATACTGTTCCCTCGATGGATAAACAAGGCTATATCGTCGCGAAAAAATCGCTTTCGGTATTTTTTTCATAAAACTTGGTTTCCTCTCGCGGTAACGTTCCAAAATACTAGGTATGAATATTTATACGCAATCCATGTCTGTATTATGTACGTTTGTATACATATACACATACACATCCCTCACACCTACACACATAGAACTCCACACACAGTTACAGCTACATGGACACACTCACACACGTACCTCCTTTGTTAGTTACACATCGTTTACTCGTCCGCCTCCTGTACTAGATGCTCGATAAACAATATTACAACTTTGTGTATTTACACATCCGTACGCGTGTGCGTGCATACTATACGCGCGCGTACTTGTACTCCCACACACGAACGAACAGCACAAACTTACCCTTAGAACGCTGTAGCCCCTACGTTTTAGTCGAGTAGATGAGCATCTTGCATCCGTAGAGCAAAGTCGGGCGTCTTTTCTTTTCAGATGAGAAAAATTATCCAAATAAATGGTCGAACGAAAGATGATCGCTATTATCTTTGATAGATCGAGGGAAGGGTTATTTTTAAAAATTTTGAGCAGTGTAAATGGGTCTATCGAGATGATTTTCAAGAGATAATCATTAATAGTTTTTTTTTTTTTTTTTCTATACTCTTATACTGTTCAAAGTTTAGAAAAATGTGTACTTTTCGACTCCTTGGTTATCATTTTTCTGTTTTATTTTTTAAACACTGCGCGTGTATCGAAGATTGCATTGTTTCCTGGCAAGGTCTCGAATAATTAGATTGTTTTTCGACGAGACATTTATCTGGATAACAATTTCGCCTGTCAGCGCCGTGTAGAGGACACAAACGCGCGACAAAACCGCGTCAGCGTGTTGACTTCGCTGTAATTAGCCTATGTGTATTTATTTTTCTTTTTGTTCTGCCCCCGCCCCCTTTTATTACTGCGTACTCTTTTCTGTGCGAAAGACACATCGTCGGAGACACTTCACGCTCGATGTAGAGTCAGGTAGGGTATGACGCACCGTCCACCGGGAATTTTTGCGTTAATTAGTTGAGAATGAATTTTTAAATAAACTACGCTGCGTGGAAGTTCAGAGAATCTACGCTCTTCCAAGTCTTTGTTCGAGTAATCAATGCTGCTGGAATTTTTATATGTTAATTAGTGGTAGCAAAAGTTTTATACTAGTTAATGGGACTGGCATTTTTGCGTTAATTAATGTTTTCATATTTTTTTTTATCGACGGTGCGTCGAGTTCGACTCGCTCCGAAAGAGAACGAGTCAAGGAAGAAGTTGTCTAAGCGAGTCGATACTTGGACAGGATTTCTTTGCTCGCGAAGGACTCGTAAGAGTGGAAACAAATATTACGTAAAACGAAGGTAACGTTCTATGTGGCGAATAAAATTCTACAGGTGGTACTTGTTGATACATTACGTTTGAGAATAATTTTGACAGCCGTACCGACGGATCGAGAGACGTATGCTTGAATATCAAAGAAAATAATCGATTGCACTTCGATTCTACAGTTTTTAGAAGAAAGATTGTACTACTACTGCCTTTGCGTCCCTGACACAAAACAATTTTTATCTCAGCGAATGAAAGATGTTTTCTAACAATTAATTTTCCACTTTACCCTTAGAATCAATTTTGCGATCTAGAAATATTTCAATACAAAGATCCACACGTCTTGCTATTACTACATGGATAAAAAAC